ACAAACTCTCAAGACCAAGAACTCAGCTAGGCTTGCCAACCTTCAGGTGGGGGCTGGAGATCTCCTGGAATATCGCTCTTCAGACAATGGAGATCAGCTTCCCCTGGAGAAGAGGTGTGGGAATTGCAAGTTGCTTACACTTCAGCCATTACAGAGTTAAATGTTGTTTGTTAGCAAACAGGATGTTACGTTACATAATGTATTCAACGGCGGGAAAGTTTGTGGGAGTTGTTTAGCCTAATGAAGTGACCTGTAACCTTTGTATTGGTCAACTAACATCTTGTTTGTAGGAATGCTTTGGTCTAGCATTAATGTATCCACAAGGTTTATGGCCCTTTGTGTGAACCAAAAGAGGTAGTTCTCTTCTAGAAGCCAAGAGAGAAAGATGTAGCTGTTAGCATATATTACTGAGAGTAACTGCAAGTATGTAACCTTTTATTTCTTTTATCCAAAGTACCATACCCATGTTTTATTTTGTTTTCATAGTAAAGATATTTTTCTTTTACTAACTGTGGCCCTGTGTTTGCAATACGACCATCGACCTTGAATTAAGAATCCCAACAAGAGGGCTGGTTTGGAGAATGGACTCTACAGCCTGAGGCCCCTCCTCCTTCTTCTCCAAACCCTGCCCTCCCAAGGCTCCACCCCCAAATCTCCAGGAATTTTTCAACCCAGACCTGGCAACCTGCTGCTCACCTGTCTAATGTCTTTCCTGGATTTGGGCCACCAGAAGCACTTTTGAGAGCCAGTTTAGTGTAGTGGTTAAGAGCAGTGGACTCTAATCTGGGAGAGCCAGGTATGATTCCCCACTCCTCCTCCACTTGCAGCCAGCTGGGTGACCTTGGGTCAGTCACAAGTTCTCTCAGAGCTGTTCTGTCTGGAGCAGTCCTCGAAAGAGCTCTCTCAGCCCCACCTGCCTCACAGGGTGCCTGTTGTGGGGAGGGGGAGGGGAAAGGAGTTTGTAAGCCGCTCTGAGACTGAGGGAAGGGCAAGGGGTACAAATCCAATCTCTCCTTCTTTGGTCCGGGCAGGAAGGAACTGGGGGCCGCCCAGCCGCTGACCTTGGCAACCAGGCCTGGATCAGGCTGGACTCCTCACTGGGGCAGAGTGGAGATTGGGAAGCCGAGGGTGTGCACCCCCCCCCCCCCCCGGGTCAGTTTAGGCCTGCCAACTTGGCTGAGAGGCCTCGCATCCGCCGCCTGTCCCCCCCAGAGTTGCTGGGCACATTGATTGCGGTGGCGTCCAGCGTGTGAAATCAGACGCACGTTTCCAGTCTAGGAGGAGTATTTCTGTCCTCAGGATGGGGACACCAGAGAATCCCCCAGGAACCGGGAGCTCATGCCATCCTGCCCCGGGCGGATGTAAGGAATAGATCGTCTGCTCTGTTTGAAGGTCAGAAGGGCGGGCGGCGGCCTCCCGGCTCAAGCGCCCGGTGCCTTTGTCTTGAGTGTGGCGGGTGGGTGAAAAGGCCTTCCTTCGGTTCCCCTCCACCGTGCCGGGGTCCTGATCCGCC